TTCTTTATCTACTCTCATGTTCTAGATTTGTCCAATTTAAACTGCATACCCTTAGGGCAGGGCACGTCTTAGTGTGCATTAATTAATGTTTGAACCTTTCTATTCACTGCAGCACGTCGAGCACATCTTCTACTGGCTGGCTGAGACCTGATGAGCACTAGGAAGGTTATAAAGCACTGTTTCAAATGGGTCTCTGTGTAGTCATTAAAGTGCATTGTCTGTCTATCTGCCTATCTCTTTTCTTACTGTTTTTTCCTTCAGTTCTCCTTGACCCAAAATTACACTCTCATTTTCCATCAATTTTCACTTCTCTTCGCCTGGCCAACTTCCTAATTTAATTCTGCAACAAAATATTCAGTGGAAGAGAGAAACATTTACCCTCCTGTCTTGAATTCAGTCTAGTTCTCTGAAGGCCTCCTGCTGGCCCTGCCACTGTCTGCTTGCAGATGTAGGGGAGAAAAAGAGGGATTTTTGTGCTAGATTTTCTTATTTGTAGTAATTTTCTGTAGTGAATGCTTCTATCCTGCAGATCCTCTCCTGAAGGATATCTTCTGGAAAAAATGTTTTCTTGGGACTGCTGGACATACTCTCTTACATTCCTGTTGTTGGTAGAGGTTCTGCAGAAGCAGGCTTGGGATGACGCCTTCTTGCACCTCTGGCTGTGAGAAGCATCTGGTCTGCCGATGCTTTCTTCCTCCTCGCTGGCATTTATTTCCTCATCTTTCTCTGGGTGTGGTTTTGGTTATTCAGCCAGTCATCCCAGGCACAGCTGCATTCCTACAGTTGTCAGGCACTTTCCAACTTTCTTACAGTAACGTACTATCTCAAGAGTTTGTCCGAAGTGTTGAAAACTATAGCAGTGAAAAATATTTTTCTGTCTTTTATTCATTTTTGAAAGCCTCCACAGAAGTAAGAATCCTGTAAAACTGAAGCAATCATTATGCAGAGTAGATGTGTGTTTTGATTTGCGGAGAGGAAAGGACCACAGAAAGAGAAGGCCAATTTAGCTGCATGATGCTTTTTGTTAACTAGGTCTGCTGCAGTATTTTGATGTAAGCCTAGTTAAATGTTATCACTGAAGCCTGTGTGCTTTCGATAATGTTTCTTGGACCAGAGTGATATTTTAATTGCCCTCCTGCTTGTCTGATGCTTTGGCCAGGTATTGGCAACGAGAGTCAAAGGTACTGATTTGCCAGTAGTGATGCAGCTGACAAGAGAACAATTCTGCTTGTCTGAAGAAGTAAAAATTGGGTTTCCTGCCCTTAGGAGTGTGGAAGAGGGGGGGAAAAAAAAAAAGGTTTGTTTTGAGATAAAACCGTAGGAAGATGTCTCATACCTGGCTTCACTGCATGCTAAATAGTCTGCTCTTGACCTGCGTCCCCAAACACCTTCACGTAACTGTCTGCCTCTGTAAGTGCTACAGTCAGTCCTCCATTTAAGGAACACTTTTAAAGCAGAGTAAGCAGAGTTGTTCCCTAGCCTTACAGGTGCATACTTTTCCTCAGGCTGGCATTCCCAAAGCTGCTTGTGTGGTGATGCCATTCCACAAGCTACCTGCTGCTCCTGGTCAAGCCCTAGACCCAGCGCCCTAGCCCAGGTTTCTGAAATGCAACAGGAAAATGCCTGTCTTGGGAATAGGTGCAATTTCCATTCCCTGCATCCAAAAATATAAAGACAGAGTGCTGAGTGAAAGGACAGCAGTGTGGCTGCTTTGAGAAGGGACATGTAAATACAGCGAGGAGAAGAGGGGTATTGTGTATGCCAGGACATGGTCATCTGAAGCAGCTGACTTGGCCTGAGCATTGAATTGTGAAATAATGGATGCTTGGTGAATGATTCCAGGCCAAGGGCAAGGGGAGCGGATCTATTTATGGCCCCTCGGTCTGAAATATTGAATCACCTACTGAAGCACTTCAGCCCCACTCTTCTCCTCCCCACCCTCTCCGACTCCCCAGCACGATGTGCATTTTGCAGAGCCTGAGTGCCCAAGCTGGCACTGAGTCTTCTGGGCAGCAGCCTCAAGGCTCACAAGTACAATGCTGAGTGGGAGCTGGGTCTCTTCTGAGAAAATGGTGAGGATGAGGATGCTGATTGTGCTCCTCATCAGATTTGCAAAATCCTTTCAGTATCTGCAGCATAAAACGTGCAGTTGTGCTGTGCTGTGCTGGGTGGAGCAGCCTCGTGTGGCAGTCAGGCGCTGATGTGTTTTCCACATTCGACAATTTGTTGGTGCCTAGCAGATGCACTTCCTGACTTCTCCACTTTACATTTTCTTGCAGACATAAATGAACTGCTAAGTGGCAGAGAATGGGTTTATTTCTGTTAATTTCAACAGAATTCCCTCTTCTGCCATCATCTGAGAAAAATCATAGCCACTAGATTTTATCTGAGAATAACTGTAAATTGAGTCCTTTAACATTTGAGCCAGTAGATGTCAGCAGCTCCTTTTCAAATGCCTCTGGAAATGCAGCAGTAAAAAAAAACTGACTTGTTCGTATCCAAACTTCTCTGTGATATAAAATATTTGCAACCAAAATGAGGAACTGTATAAAATATAGCCAACGGATGAGGATGAAGTGTCCTCCTAGTTATTTGTGAAGGTGGCTTGAAGAATTGTGGAGAAATCTGGACTTGATAGCAATAAAATATTAAACAGGGTCTATTTCAAAGAGTATTATTATTTTTTTTTTGAAGATAATCTTTGATTGGGCCATTGTATGATATACTTTTGTGAATGTGAAAACTCTGGCATAGTCTTCAAATTGTGATGGCTGTGATTTTACGTTTGTTTTTTAGGGTAGGTGGTACAGTAATCCAGGTGTGTGTTACAGCTGATGAAAGAGATGGTAGGTGTCTGCCTGCAGTCGGGTATATATTGTGTTCATACCAAAATTGAAACACAACATCCCATATTTTTGTAGTGATAACAGTTTTAATATTTAATATTTCTATTTTTTGGGAGCATGAAGTTTGTATGAAATGATTTTATTCTGTTACTCTGTAAATCAGGAGGTTTTTCACTGAAATCAGAATTGGTAGCTGCTGTAAAAGCATCCTAGTGGAATAAAAATAAAGCACAGACCATCCTTGTTGCTAGCTTTCGGCCTGTGCTGTTAACTGTGCTTAAATTAACATCCTTACACTGGTCCACTCCTTTGACCTTGAGCCAATATCAAAAGGCTTTGCAAAGCCTTCTGAAGAGGATTCTTTATTTTGCCTTCTGAGTCAGCAGGGGGAGCTCGCACCCATTTGGTTCAATTTGTCAAATATTGGTTATTAAAGACATTTTAAACTAGGCCATTTTATTTACACACGCACACCCACCCACACACCCACTCGTATGTGTGTATATATGGCATTCGCAGAGCTTGTACGCTGTACCTCAGCAGACTGTTTAAAAAGTCTCGTTCTCAGAGCTTCATCACAGACGTTGCATCTCAAAAAGGGGGGTCAAATGAAAGCATGTTTAAAACAGTCCTGTGAAATGATTCTCTCTTACTTATCATCTCAAGACAGAGGGAGGGCAAGAAGGTTTTACCCCATCCCGTGGTCAGGAGTTGATGCTTGGGCGAAGAAATGCCATGAGCCTGGATCTCTAAGGCAGCTGGAGGCTTTGGCAGCAGGCATTGAGAAGGAAGTTAAAACTAGGCTGTTGACAATATTTTAACATGAGAATAATAAAATCAGCTTCCCCCCTCCCCCCCCATTTACTTTATTTATTCTGATTCATCTGACTGCATTTATGCTAAGCTGCTGCTTTTCTGTTTTATGTGAATAAAAATTAGACTTTCACTATAGGTCCACAGCATTTTCCAGAATATCAATTGGATGAGTTGGTGCAAGCTGGAGAAATCTCTGGGAGATCTTTTCTACTACAGCCTCGTGCTAAATGGTGTCATTTTATTACGTTATGCATATATTCCTAATGTTTAGAGGATTCTTAACTAGGCTAGAATTACTGTATGTAGGAGAAATACAATTCCTACACACAGATTGTGAGGCAATAAGCTAAAGAAAAATTTTTAATTTCTGATGGCAGGGGGCAGCTAAGTGACTTGCCCAAGGTCACGGAGCAGCAAGCTGGCAGCACTGGGAGCAGCCACCCTACCTCCTCCGCTTCCTGCGTGGTGCTCATCTATACTGCCATGTCTTTGCCTTGGGCAAGCAGAGAGATTTTCTATTTCCTGATGGCCTTTAAGTTTTCAGATGTTTGTTAACGTATCATGTATTATTTCCCCAGATACTTTTTCATTGTAACTGAGAATGTTTTAACCTGTTGATTGTATTGATTTTTGATGTGGAAATAGCAGGCTGCTCCATTTCAAACTAAATTTCAAGGGCATGAAGATTGTTAGAATGGAAAAGCCACTTAGTGCAACACGCTTGTTCCTTTTATTTTTATCTCAGTCAGGCATAGAAAGAGCCGGAGAGGTCCTAGCCCTATTTTCTCTATCCTGGATGGAATCCTGATTACTTTAGGTGCTGGTAGAATTGGGAGGAAAAAGTAAACCTAATCTGTGGTATAAGCAGCCATGTAGTTGGCTGTTCTTGTGCCAGTGCTACCTGAGAATATTGTGCACACTTTCGGCTGCACTACCTTTGCATTATCCTGGCTGAGTGCTGCTGCTCCACTTTGAGGGCAGTTGCAGTGAGATATTCCTCTCTGAAGCAGTGACAAATGGTGACTCCCTCTGAGGGTCCTGCTCGTACCTTGTAAAGCAACAACATCCTCATGTGTTGTATATTCTTCTCAACTCTGAAAGCATTTCTATATCCTTTGTCTCCCACCAGCTATTTTAATTTGTTACTATTTCAATATTTTTTCTTTAATTGCGTTCTCTAAGCTAGGACTATAGCTTTTAGGACTAGTCCTTAAGTCCTTTCCTTTGGCCAAATGCTGCATAATTTTTTCATTTAATATGGATTTCTTGTTTTGGTCAATTGCTCCTAGTTCTATTACTTCATAGTCATCTACATTTGATATATATTTCTCCTTACAGGCCCAGTCATCTCCCTCAGAAAGTCATTCCCTGTGCATGGCTGGCCTGAGCCAACATACTGCGTGGCAACGTGCCCATTGTTTGCTGTGAATTTAGAACCTGAAGCTAAGGATGAAAGCCCTTGTCAGCTGTGCAGGTTAGTGAACAGCTTTCGTGCAGACCTCGGGTTCCTTCGTGGAGAAGGAAAGAACACTTGGTCCTGTCACCTTGGTGTGTTTCTGTATCACTGCTCATTATCTGCTGAAGAAGCTGCAATGATTTTTTCTCTCACCAGAGGCTTTTGCAGTAGTTTTCCACACACCCCTTTCCTGAAGCCACAGGAAGAACCACTGGTGTAAACACAGGGCTCTGCTCTGTGTAGCAGAGCTATTGCAGTTTTGCTGTGCATCTAGAGCTCTTGGCCTGCTGGGGGCAGGGTTTTTCAGCTACAAAGGTCCTCAAGATAGAAATGTAGGAGAGTGTTATGCGTTGGTAACTGTCTCTAGTTCCTGTTGATCTCCAGCTGCTTTTGGTGAGCTTGGTTCTCTCCCTGATGACAGAGAAGTTTTATTTTATTACTGTAAAGCAATCAGAGGGAAGGAGTATGTCAGGTGAAGGGGCAACTGTAGCTAGTCTGGACATATCTTCTAGTCTTTTTTCATTGTGTACAGCATTGCCTTAACATTTAAAATACAGACAAAAAAAAAGTTGGTAGGTTGTGATGGTGGATAACGTACCATTTACAACCCCCCCCCCTCAATCCTAATCCCCATCAGCCAGTTCTTAAGCCACTGAGCTGCTGGCAGCTGTGGTGTGAGAAAATGATACTGTTCAGGGTAGCTCTCTGGCACAGGCTGGGATGATATTGGGGAAGACATGAAATTAAAAAGAGCTTGTTTAAAATTGACTGCTGATTACTCACTTCCATAAATACATTGGAGCACAAGAAATTTATTGCACTTGGACATATTTGCAAGCTGCTTTTTGGAAATGGACACAAATACACTCTGAATAATACAGTTTTGCTGCTTGATTGGCAGGCAATCTCTCCATGGTTCTACTGAAAAGCAACTTAGGCTAGTTTTTTCAGTAGGATGGATGTCAGAGCCTCATTTTCATTCTTCCTGTGATGCTTAAGAAATTTTGGAAAGTAGAAGAGAACAAAAGAGAGTGATTCTACTGTAAAATGCAAAGTCCTGGTATTTTTCATCAAATTAGGAGTATAGAAGGTGTTGGTCTGGATGTTAAATCACAGAGCAGACTGAATTTCCATATGCAGTAGGATGAGTGAAAAGGGTATAGTAATATAGATTAAAATGTTCTACATAAAAACTCCTTCTTGACCGTAGAACTATTAAATCAAAGAAGTAGATATCTATAAAAAAAAAAAAAAGGGCATAACATTTCAAATCCCATTGTAGAAAACTGTGAGTGGGAGAGTCCAGAGTTCTGAACACAGATACCAAGATCTTGGTAACCACAGGGTAAGAAGTCTGTGGTTTTATTTCCCTCCCCCAAAAAAGTGATACTGTTCATGAACATTCCAACTGAAGTTTGACAACAAGCAGGAAATTAAACAAGTTATCTCTGAATTGTGTGCAAAATACTCTAAAATAAAGGAAGAAAACAGAAACCTAATTACAGAGTGACATTGAGCCTTCTGATATCACACAAGACATCATTTAAAAACAAAACCTAACACGGGTCTATGATGGGCCACACTGTAGACTGAAAATTCTTCTTTAATTGCCTCCAGAGCATGAAGAAAGTCTAAAACTTACCCTTTACCACTGCCATATTCTTAACCACTTTGTCTTCGTATGGAATGCTAAAATCCCTTATTTTCTGTTTTTAAATAATGCGCTGAATTTCTTCTGTACTTATATAAACTTGTACACAAATTATCAAGACATGATAGTTCACTTTGTCTGGAAATTGGGTATAATCTGTATAGGTTTTCTGTACATAACTAACATGGATCTGTAAATGAGGGCAAAGAAGACTGAACATAAAGGACAAAGTCACATAACTCGTGCAGGCAGTGACAGAACTGGGAACAGAACGAGTGGAGCTGCGTGCTCAGTCCCTTCACACTTGGAACAAACTGTTCCACTTAAAGGCAGGGGAGGAGTCTGCCACTGAAGTGGCTTACTAGAAGTATTACAGGCACTTAGTGCAACTCTGATAACACCAAAAAAAGTTGGCATTTTACCTATTCCATGACCGAAGAGGTTTTATTTAGGTAGCACTCTCTGATTTCATCCATTTCACTGCTATGAATGGAAGTAAAGGTGGAAATATGTCCAGTAGCTGCCATGGCCATTACATGCAATTCATCTGTTTATCAGAGCAAGTACCTTTTGAAAGCTCTGTTAAAGTGCAGAAATAGAGAAGATACATTTCTACCAAATATCAGGGATGTCAGCTGATATTTATTAATGACTTAAATCCATGTCTCCCTCTGCATGATTTAAAGTGTTTATGCAATTGAAGTTCTAAAATTTGTTTTAAATCTTCTGCAAATTATGGCTCCATCAGTGTATTTGTTTTCCATTTGACCTGTAACGTCAGGTATCATTGCACTGAGTCATGCACTGCATCCGAGCAAGAAGGCAAATTCTGGCTCCCTATTTTTCATTGACATTGTTTAAACGTAATAATTTTCACCAGCCTGGTGCTGCTGTTTGTAATACTGAATGATATTTGAAAGATAACTCAGCTCAGCATCTCACATCCTGTTAGATCCCACGTGAATTAAACAGTTTCACACAGCAGTCAAAAGAAATGTAAAACTACTGTGATGTACTATACAAAAACCCAAGAGAAAAAAAACATCAGTTCTCTGTCCTGTGGTGAAAATGCCAATGCATATGCATGGTATAGATATTTTGCACATTTTACAGACTGGGAAACCTTGGTGTATTGTGATTATTTGCTGAAGATCACAATAAATTAGGCCCAAAGACAAGAAAAGAAGCTGCATCTCCTAATGTTTCCTCCAACCCACTGATACCTGTAGCTCTTTGTAATGGTTTGGATAGGCTCATGACCATATCTGATCTAGCCTTGGTGTAAGCATTGATCTTAGAGAACAGAATTCATTTTTTTTTATTCCTCACTGCACCTTTGGCAGGCTCTGTGTCATGTGGCAGAGCACTTCAGTTCTGGAGAAGTCTTTTTTTTTTTTTTTTTTTTCTGTTATAAACTGCAGTTAATAATGGTTACCCAGAGTCATGACATGTTCAAATTATGTGGAAAAAATCAGAAACAAATGCCAGGTGGTATTACTAATTGTTAGGCTTTTATTTTAAATATTGCTTGGATATTAGTAGAAAGTACTTCAAGCTAAGTGAAAAAAAACACCTCTGTTAACAGAAAAAGCAAATGGTTCATTACAATTTGACAGATTAAAAGGTGCATCACTAAAACTGTGTGGTTAGCCTACTTGAAGGTAGCATACTACTACCACAGAGAAAGAATGTTAATGTCTAAGCATATAAATGACAACGTTCCAGAAACCTTCAATTTCACATACCCTACGTGTGATCTTCCATTCAAATGAAAATGAGACTAAGGCAGGAAAAAGTACAGATTTCCTGGGTTTCATTATATCTGTGAGAAAACTGAGCCAATGGCAAGAGCTACAAAACCTGTTGTATAGTATCAGTTATACCATATAATATTGAAGAGATTAGAGAGCAGAGAGAAATGATTCGTTGCTGAAGGGTAAATACTCTTTTGATGTGCCAGGAGAGTGCTTGAGCAGCTTTCTAGCATTAGGAAAGGATCCCTAATAGGTGAAATAATTTATTATTATTTTTTAAAACCACATGATTGACCGTGCCCTGTTTATGATCTGTTGTAGTAGTGATTAAACTAATCAGCATACTAACACATCTGGAAGAAGTAGGAGGTTCGGACCTGGGAATAAAACTGGGATATTCAGGTCAGCTCAGTAGCGTGCTGGGAGCTACACAGAGAGAAACAGAGTGCTATTTATACGTACCTACCTTTTCTGGGACAGGTAGTGATTTCATTGCTTTCATTGAAGGAAAAAGCATGTGCACAGGTTAGTTAACTCAGGGAAATTTGCATCCTAAAATCTCCTTTGATGTGAATGTAGATCATTGGCACAGAGATCTACTCTTGGTCTTCTAAAGGTGCTGCATAAATCAAGCAAATGACACACTCTTTCTATAGTACTTTGAAAAGCTGCATTTATATTCACTCATGCTCAGGAACCAATTTGTTTCAACAAAGAGGTAAATTGTAGTGATATTCAGTCTGAGTAGTTTCTGGGGTGGAAAAATATTTTTCCCAGCTTTCTAGAGAAATCTGCCTTTTTCTTCATTGCTTGGTTGTGCTGCTTGTGCCAAAGGAGAGGATGCTGAGGCCTTTGGTGGAAGTTTCACTAGAGCAAATTGTTCAGAATCAGAGAGCAGACTGCCAGTGGAATTATTTGCTTTCTTCAGTGAGCATAAACAGAAGCAAACCCTTGACATTAATTTGAGAGTGATGGTTAATGTCTCCGATGAACGTACCAATGCTGTAATTGTGTGACTCTGACTTGTTTCTGGATTATTTTCCAAATGTTGTTAAAGGATAACTGGGGCATCTTGCTGTGCCTGTGTTCTGCTGGAAGCTTCTATGAGATACTTTATTGGTGAAAGTCTGAAGTTTCTTACCTACTCTGTCATTGTCTAGAGTGCTGACTGTCTTCATCTGGGATACAGCAGATATGTGTAAAGTCTCAGAAAAGAGAAGGACTCAATGCTTCAGTGAGAGTAGCATTTCTTAGTAAGGAAAATGAAGGAAAGATAGTCAAAAAGAGAAGAAGAAAAGGGAGAGCAGGCAAAATAGTCAAATAGGAGACCTTTCAGTAGAAAGGTCTTGGTCTGAGCTTTGAAGACAATCAAAGAAGAGGCTCTGCTGAACACATGGATTTTCAGACAGGGACTTGAACTGATAAGACCCTGCTTGCAGCTTTAACTTACCCAGTCTTAATTTCCTTTGAGACAGCTAACAAGATAGAAATGTATCTGAAGAGATGACAGCAGTGACCTGTGTCTGGTGTTTGGTGCCAGGGCCCCAGCACTATCAAGGTCAATGTCTGCATGAGTTAGTTATCCATCCCATAACTTCAAACTTTCTGGAGGC